CGCCCCCACGCCGGAGAGCCCACGGCTCCCACTCCGCGAGCAGCTGTGTGCTCAGTGTCGCCGGAGTGAGGGAGTGGCTCTGGCTTTTTCCAGAGGGCTGGGAAATGCCCCCACACATGCTCCATGCATCATCCTTCTCCAGATGACGCTACCGAGAACCCCGTACTTGGGCTAAAAATAGCAAAAAGGGGCTTTATCAAGGGCTCATACTGTGCCCAAACCGTTGACCCCTTCCAAAAGGACCCAAATATGCCCAACATGCCTTGTTTTGTGGGAATTTGCTGGGTTTTGGTCACATCGACAAGTGGTAGCTGGAAAGGGATTTATCCCAAGGTGAGTTTCACCAGGAAAGGCTTCAGCACCACATGAACTGCAAAGAAACACAGTTGCTATGTTTAAAAATAAATAAAAAAATAAGCTTCCCCCCCCAAAAAAAAACTAGAGCTGAAATAAAATCTCATGGTTTTCAGAGAAACCTGTGAGACCTAAACGCTGCACTACCCTGTGTTTACCAGCCCTAATTTTATCCCTCAGGAGGTTTCCTGTAGGACGTCATTATTTCCACAAGTGTGAAAGGGGAAAAAAAAAGTAAGAAAATGAAGAGTAGAAAAATCCTCGGCAGATTATAAATCCCATAATCTGAAGAAAGCGCCCCAAAATAAAACAAAATCGGGGTTGGCACGGCCGAGGAGTTAAATGACTTGATTTATGGCAGCCACTGGAAAAGATGAGGGCTTCAGGATTGTTCTCAGCACAGAAGAGAGCCAAGTCTGGTTTTTTAGGATAAAAACACTCAAAATGAGGATTATAATGAAGGTGTTTTGCAGACCAGGGGCGGTGCCAAATTGCAATTTCTCCCTGTACAATTTTTGGGGCGATGTTTTCCCCTCTTTGAGCGCATTTGCATGAGAATACCCTCTTGGGCAGGAGAATTGCTGCTTAATTAGCGAACAGCAATCACTTTAATTAGCATGTCTCCATGCTCCCTGCTATTTTGCATAGATTCAAATGAGATGCTCATTAGGGAGCAGGCGCCCGGACAAGCTACGCCCTTTAGCTGCTCACTAACCCAATTAACTTCAGCCAAACCGTGCCGGGCCCTGTGCCAGGAGGGACCGGGCTGCTCCCAGAAGGAAGGTGCAGAACCTCTCCTTCAACCTGCTCTCTTCCTCCAAACTTGTGAGGTTTCCTTCCTTGGAAGGTTTTTCTCCTTCAAGGTCTTCCTTCTTGCATGATTTCCTTCCTTGTCAAAGGTTTTCCTTGTAAAATTTTCCTCCCTACAAGGATTTTCCTACATTGAAAGTTTTTCCTTCCTTGAAATGATTTCCTCCTTCAAGTATTTCCTTCCTTGCAAGATCTCCTTCTTTGCCTAAGGGTTTCCTCATTGCAAGGATTTAGTTCCTTGCAAGATTTTCCTTCTTTGTGATATTTTCCCCCACACAAAGTTTATCCTCCATGTAAAGTTTTCCTCTCTGCAAGGTTTTCTTCCTTGGAGGTTTCTTTCCTTTCAAGGCTTTACCTCTTTGCAAGGTTTTCTTCCTTTCAAGGTTTTACTTCCTTGAAAGTTTTCCTGTTTGCAAGATTTTCTTCCTTGGAGGTTTCCTTCCTTTTGAGGCTTTACTTCCTTGCAAGCTTTCCTCCTTGCAAGGTTTTCTTCCTTGGAGGTTTCCTTCCTTTCAAGGCTTTACCTCCTTGCAAGTTTTTCTCCTTATGAAGTTTCCTTCCTCACAAGCTTTCCCCTCCATGCAAGGTTTCCCCTCTTCATAAGGTTTTCTTGCCTGCAAGTTTTTCCTCCTATTCCTCGCTTGCTCAGTGCTGGGATTTGGGAGCAGAAATGGGGGGGACACCCCCAAAACCACCTTCCCTCATTGGGAATCCTCCAGCCCTCTCCGTGCCCCTTCCCCCCGCCCAGGTGGGGCCATCGTTCCTGGCAGGAGCACGAGGGAATTTGCGGGTCCCCTTTGTTTTTCCGCCCAGCCAGCGTGGTCCCAGCGAGGTTGGGTTTTATTTTATTTCATTTCTCCTGCCCCGTAATCCCATCGTCTTGTCACGGTTCCCCGGGAAGCGGGGCTGCTCCGAACAAAGCCCCCGGAGCATCCCGGGCTCCCGGAGGGGGTTTTGCAGCTGCGCCTCGGAGCGTGACCGATCGGGAATGAGCCTTCGCAGCGCGTCTAATGCCGCTTGGACAGGGAGCCTTTCATCCGCTCGTGGGAGTGAGGCCCCGGCTCCGAGCGCCCGCTGCCCGCGCTCGGCGCTCCCGGCCCCGCGGAGCCGATCAGCAGCGCCGCCGCCCGGGGGGAGCCACGCCGGGCCCCCGTGCTCGCCTGCATTGCTGAGGGCTTAGGGGAGCCCCCTGTGCTCGCCTGCACTGCTGAGGGATCAGGGGGAGCCACGCCGGGCCCCTGTGCTCGCCTGCACTGCTGAGGGCTTTTGGGGAGCCATGCTGGGCCCCCGGGCTCGCCTGCACTGCTGAGGGCTTTGGGGAGCCACACCGAGCCCCCGTGCTCGCCTGCATTGCTGCGGGATCATGGGGAGCCACACCGGGCACCTGTGCCTCCACTGCTAAAGGCTCAGGGGGAGCCACGCCGAGCCCCCGTGCTCGCCTGCATTGCTGAGGCCTCTGGGGGAGCCATGCTGAGCCTCCATGCTCGCCTGCATTGCTGCAGGATTGTGGGGAGCCACACCGAGCCCCCGTGCTTGCCTCACTGCTGAGGGCTTGAGGGGAGCTGCACCGAGCCCCCCGTGCTCGCCTGCATTGCTGAGGGATCATGGGGAGCCACACCGAGTCCCCCGTGCTCGCCTGCATTGCTGAGGGATCATGGGGAGCCATGCCGGACCCCTGTGCTCGCCTGCACTGCTGAGGGCTCGGTGCAGAGCTCGGGGTCAGGGCAGAGGGGCTGAGGCTGGGAGATGCTCCCCAAGGCCATGCTGGGCTCTGCTGGGTTCCTTCTTGTGGTCCCCTGGATTCTGTCCCTGGCTGTGCCGGATCCCTGTTCCCACCTCCACACCCTCAGCAGCTTCCTTGTCCTGGTTTTCATCATCCCATCCCTGGCAGGCACCTCCTTCCTGTTCCCATCTCCTGACCCCAGCAAGTACCTTGTTCAAGTCCCATCATCCCAGCCTTGTTCCCTGGGATCACTCATCCCAGTCTCCATCATCTCTCTCTGTCCCCATTATTACATCCCAGTCCCCATCACCTTGTCCTTGTCCCATCACCCTGGGCCAGACCCCAGCAGGTCTCTTGTCCCTTGTCCCAGTCCCATGGCCCTGTGTCCCTGTGTCTCTCCACAGGGCCAGCCCAACACTCCAATGCCCTTTGGCATCCAGTGATCTCCATTGAGGGAAGGTTTGGGTCCTTTTTGAGAAGGGGACAGCTGGTGCCAGCCTGGTGCCCCCAGCCTTGGCAGTGCAGGTGGCACCAGCTGCTGAATGTGCAGTGTGGCAGGCAATGTGTGTGAGCGGAGAATCCCAGGATTTCCACTCCAAGGGAATGGATAAAGAACAGGGTTGACAAAGGCTGGAGGGGTGTTGGGATGGAGCACACGTGGAAACAATCACCTGGGAAAAGAAGATGAGGAGAGACAAGATGAAAATGATGAGGATAGAAGAAACAAGATGAGACAACAGGAGAGGGAAAGAGGAGAAGGACTAAAGGAAGAGAGAAGAGAAGAGAAGAGAAGAGAAGAGAAGAGAAGAGAAGAGAAGAGAAGAGAAGAGAAGAGAAGGAGAGATGTCGCCTCTAAAGAAGCTGTATGTCCCTGTGAGATTTGCCAACCCATCTCTTCATGCATTGGTCAGGGGGGTTTTGTTGGTTTATTTTCCCCCCAGTGAAAAGTGGCTTTTTGACCCAAACACACGTTTTCATAGCAAAGGTGTTTTTTGGCTGAAAGGCTTTTTTATTCCTTATTAAAAAGAAAATTGGGGAGGTTGGTGGGAAGGGTCACTTCTGTAAAACCTCTATTTTTCTTTTAAAAAGCCTCAACTAATCTATTTTGGCTTTTTCTTTTTTTTTCCATCAGAAATACCTCTGCGGGAGGCTTTGGGAGTGAATCATTCCCAAAATCCCCTGTCCCACGCCGTGCCTGGTCCTGCCCAGCTTTATCATCTCCCCTGCAGCAAACACCCACTGGCAACAAAAGAAAACTAGAATTATTAGGAATTACTTTTAAATTTTTTTGAGCCGACTAGAGGATAATTTTGCCTCATTTTCTTGTATTTTGGTCATTTAACTCCATGGAGTGAGTTTGGTGCCAAAAATTGCCTGAGTGTTTAGGAAGGAGTTGAGAACCTCCCCATGCAGTGACTGTTGGGTTTCCCAGGGGGTATCTCTGAGAAGAACCCAGATGCTGGGGTGGGGCAGAGCCCCTGCACCCCTCCTGAGGGTTCTGAGGGTGATAAAAGGTTCTGTGGCCCGTGACCTCTCCAGCACCTGCCTGCCCCAGGCCAGGCTGGAATGAGCCCTGCTGGAGGCTTCTCCAGCCTGCTCTGCTGGGCAGACTTTGGGCCCACAATTCAGGCAGTTTGTCCTCAACCTTCCCTCTGGATGGAGCTCAGTGCTGCAGAGAGGTTGTCTCCATCCTTATCTTCCTGGTGGATCTCAGATCAGAATTGTGGGTCTCCTGTCTCCATCCCTGTCTCCTGAAGGATCCTAGGTGGGTGCTGCTGGTACCTTCACTCCATCCCTGTGTCCTGAAGGGTCTCGGGGGTTGCTGCAGGTGCCTTCACTCTATCCCTGTCTCCTGAAGGATCCTAGGTGGGTGCTGCAGATGCCTTCACTCCATCCCTGTCTCCTGAAGAATCCCAGGTCACTGCTGCTGGTACCTTCATCCATCCCTGTCTTCTGAAGGATCTCAGGGGGTCCTGCAGGTACCTTCACTCCTGAAGGATCCTAGGTGGGTGCTGCTGGTACCTTCACCTATCCCTATCTCCTGAAGGATCTCAGTGGGTGCTGCTGATGCCTTTACTCCATCCCTGTCTCCTGAAGGATCTCAGGTCACTGCTGCAGCCAATCTCCACCTTCTCTGAGCTCCCCAAAACCCAACCCACCACCTCACCTTGCTGATGGTGCCCATTCCCAGCCCCAGCTGGACCCAGCCCTTGGTGGATGCCTCTGGAGGGGCCAAGGCCGTGGTGGAGGGAGAACCAGGGCCGGGTGGAGGGGATGGAGCTCCCTCCAAATTGACACCATATGGCTGCTCCTTATCCCCAGGCCCAGTAAATGGGTCTTTCATGCTGGGCCGGTTGCCATAGGAGCAAACACGCAGGAAATATCCCAGATAACTGGAATAGTGGTGAAAACATATGTTTTGGATAAAACCCGGCAGAAATCGCCCCTTTTAACCCCTCCCAGGCAGTTTTAACCCCTTTGCCACACCTCAGTGCATGCATGCAGTGGGGAAACTGAGGCACGGCGGCTCTGGGCCCCTCCCCAGCTGGCAGGGGGAAATCTGGCAGGGTTTTTGCCATGAAGCAGAATTGCTGTCAGGTTCCCAGTGTCAGCTTGCCTCCTTCTCCTTCTCCTCCACCTCCTCCTCCTCCCCAGAGCCCCTTATCAAGACGGATGGCTGCATGCAAGGCCGTGTGCAAGCATTTTGCTTTGATTTGCCAAGGAATTTGCTTTGCTTTTGCTTTTTTTATTTTCCCTTTTTTTTTCCCCTCCCCTCTCTTCTTTTTGTCTCTTTTTTCCAGCCTGGGCCAAACCTTTCCTTATCACATCTGGTGAGCAGCAGCCCCAGAGCCGCCCTGGCTGCTGGCCAAGCGTGGAGCCGACAGCCAGGCGGGCACAGCACGGACACACCAACAGCCCTGCTCCCAGCAAGGGGAAACTGAGGCATGGAAGGCCTGAAAGCTGCTGCAGGTGTTCCTTAAAGTGGCTCCATGCTGCAAATATCACAGTGTGCCACAAATATCCCTGTGCACAGCCAGTGTGCCTGTGTGCTGCTGGCATCCCACACACCCTGAACGTTCCTGTGTGCTGCAGCATCCCTGCACACTGCTGCAAACAGCCCTGGATGCTGCAAACATCCCCGTGCATGGCCAGCATCCCTGTGTGCTGCAGCATCCCTGTGTGCTGCATCCCAAAAACATCCCCATACATTGCCAGGTCCCTGTGTTCTGCTGCATCCCTGCATCCCATAAACATCCCTGTGCTGCTGCATCCCATAAACATCTCTTTGCCTTGTCAGCATCCCTGTGTGCTGCTCGACCCCTGCATCCCATAAATATCCCCATGCATTGCCAGCATCCCTGGGTGCATCCCTGCATCCCATAAACATCCCTGTGTGCTGCTGCATCCCTTAAACATCTCTGGGCATTGCCAGCATTCCTGTGAGCTGCATCCCCTGCATCCCATAAACATCCCTGTGTGCTGCATCCTATAAACATCCCTGTGTATTGCCAGCATCCCTGTGTGCTGCATCCCTGCATCCTATAAACATCTCTGGGCATTGCCAGCATCCCTATGTGCTGCTGCATCCCATAAACATCCCCCATACATTGCCACCATCCCTGTGTGCTGCTCTGTCCCTGCATCCCATAATCATCCCTGTGCATTTCCAGTATCCCTGTGTGCTGCTGCATCCCATAAACATCCCTGGGCATGGTCAGCATCTCTGCATCTTATAAACATCCCTGTGTGCTGCTGCATCCCTGCATCCCATAAATATCCTTGGTGGATGGCCACATTCCTGGGCATTGCCAGCATCCCCGCATCCCATAAACATCCCCGTGTGCTGCATCCCTGCATCCACAAACATCCCTGTGTGCTGCATCCCTGCATCCCACAAACCTCTCTGCACCCTGCAACTCTTCCCAGGCCTTTTCCCAGGTGAGAAAATGCTGCTGGGTCTTCCCAGCACTGCCTGAAGCTGGAGAACCCCGTGGAGTCACCCCAAACCCTGCACCCTCGGGCAGCCTGGAGCAGCCCTGTCCCTAGAAAAGGCCAAAAGGGAAGCTCTGGGTGCTGGGATGGGGAAAATCTTGGGAGGGGCTGCTCTGGAATGTCATGAGCAGGACTTGAGCACAGGAGGGATTGCAGAGAGCACAGAGCAAAGGGATCGGGGAGGAAGCCCTGAGATTAAGGAGCAAGGGGCTGTGGGGCTGCAGCACCGGGGCCAGACCCATGAGGAGATCCAGCCGACCTGGGATTGCTTCCGGTGCTGATGGGAGGAATGTGCAAGCAAGGAAAATCCCCTTCCACGGCAAGGCATCACCTCACTGCCTCCCTCCCAGTGGGATCAGAGCCCTCCTGATGTTTCTTATCCTCCCAGTTCTCCTGGGGAATTTTTCCCCCATCTTGGGTTTGGTGGGATGCACATCCCCAGCAAGGTGCAGCATCCCTGCCACCCACACATCCCTGGCACCCCCTGCCTCTCTCCCACTGCCACATCCCTGCTCTGCTGCAATCCCAGACTCATTCCTCCACTTCAGCTCCAATTTTTTGTTTTGCCCCTATTTTTTAATAACCTTTCCCTGCATCTCCCGCCTCCTCCTCCTCCTCCTCCCTCCGAGCTCTGGTT